ACTACATTTCATGATTATTTATTTTACTTTATAATTTACTATTAACTTATTCTTCATTATTGTCTATTCCACCCTTGATATTACATATTCTACTTGCCATTATTCATCTATTGTTATTTATTTATTTATTATGGTATTATGCATATAATTTATGCTATTATAAATCTATTATATACTGTTGTACTTGCTTTTTATATTATTCACTTTACTTGTACTACATATACTTTTTAATATTACATATCACTTTTACTGTGTAATATTTTACGACTGTAACTGTAAGTTTTACTGGATCCATAAAGGATTATCAGTTGCATTTGTTATTGTTTGTTGTGGAGTTTATCTGTATAGAGTGCTATCAAAAAAAAAGCAGACTACCAAGAGTGTCACTTTTTGTCACAATTTTCTTCCAGTATTTCAAAGGGAATGAGCTGTGTTCTGACCTGAAGCACAAGAAAAGCTCAAATGTTGGGGTTGAAGACAGAAAAAGCAATGAAACAACTTAATTTCATTTAATGTAGATTCAAATGACAAAACATGTATATGTCACAGTTATACTACATTAACATTAGAATTGTAAACTGAAAAAATCTATCAAATCAACAAGTGAGACAAGTGTGAGTTTTAAATTTGAAATTTTTAAATTAATAATTTTCCAAACCGAACTAAATAACTGAAGGCAGAGTTATTTTTAACTCCATGTAGATAACAAACCTCTGAAATCGGTTGATAAATGTAAACGTTATAGTGTTTTTATCCAGAAAAAAAACGCAGCTCCCCCATTTACCTCCATTTATTTTAAGGCAGTCTTGCCTTCACAAACATGGCGGACGCGTTGACGTATCGCAGCAACGGCTCAAAGCGGCCAATGAGGCGTCTAGGTATTTATTATGTCTATGGTTGAGAATGTGTAGTATTACTAGTTTACTAGCTATTAAAAAAAACTTACATTGTAATCATTCAAAAATGTGTAGGTGTTCAATAATTGAATGTATTTAAAAATACAGTTATTTATATTTTAATATTATATTATGCAAATTATTTTACAAACAAATCTAAATTAACATATATAAAATATATATTTTTGCTGAGATTTGATGTGACACAATTTTGCGTCGTGATTACGCAATGACTTCATCGCGCAATGACATCACAACATCATTTAGCAACTTTTAGCAACAAATCATCCTTCCTGTAGCAACTTTCTCTGAAAATTAGTTGGCAACACTGCATTCAAACACCGTAATCTTCGGTGAGAGTGTGAGATAAAAGGCTCTTTTAACAAGCTTCCATAGTAACTTACCTTTACCCGGGGTTAAATTTAGAACTACAATAACCCAGGCTTAAACACAGTTTGCAAAGCCCTACACACTACACTTTTCTGCTGTTAAACCTTCCAGAACACATTGCCTCATAAACAATATCCAATTAGGCTACTGCTTTCTAACAAATGTACATTTTGTAAATTGCATAAATTCCTGATTTGACTAATATCACTTAACTTGTAACAGTTAAATACCTTTTAATACAAAACAGAAACAGACATGTGTTCTGATGGTATTCCTTTTTTATTTAACAGATATCATTGCCTATTACCTGGGTGTCAGACTCTGTTCCTTGTTTTGTGTGTGTTTTGTTCCCCATGTGCCTTCCTTGCCCTTATTTGGTCCTTCCGGTTCCTGTCCCCATTTAGTTCTATTAGTTCCAGGTGTTCCTTGTTATTAGTTATCTCCCTGGATGTTATTAAAATCTATATGTTTGAATTCCACTCCTTGTCTCCTTGTTCCTTCGTCTCTGTGCTCTTCACAGTAGCCCAATGTGACACTGGGATATAATAAAATTTATTTTAAATTTTTTTCAAGTAAACATGTAGCCTGTTTCTTCTGAACTCTGATATGTTCGCAGGTGTCTTCGTCCTGTAAAAGCAGTGGTGTTAAAGGTTAAAATGGACTTGGCATTCCTTCGTTTTTTTCCAGCCCCTGCAGCAGGGGTACAGAAGGGTACAGAGAGTGTGGGGCTGGAGGCGGGATGTTCTACTTTAGGAGGGAACATGAATTTTCAAAGACTAGTGGCCCCTTCCTCAGAATTCACCACATGCTTTCATTCTTTCTGCTTGTTCACCCAGTCTGTTTTATCCCATGAGCATACACACACTTAGAGATCGCAGGGAAACCTCAGGTTTCTTAAGACAAAAGCAAATATGTGAAATACGAGATTTTCTACTGTTCTTTTTTGCTTTATCAGATACTTCACAGATGTATTTTCCAGATGAAGATATAAGTTTGTCATAAAATTATGCCCAGCCAAAGGAAATCTCATTCCCCAAACTTTGTCTTTTCGTCCTCCTCTTTCCCTCCCTCTCTTTCAGAATAACCGATGCACAGACAGCTGTCTTTTTCTCTCACTTTTTCTTTAACGTCTCCTCCTCTCAGTTCTCCATTTGTAGTGTTCTTGATGTATTTTTTATGCAGCTTTTTTCCTCTTTATGGCTCTGGAAACTCTCCTGTAAAGGAATTATTTTAACTGCAACAGGACAGAGATACCTTAAGCACACATATACATGCTTGAGGAAGCCACAACATAAGCACCTCCAACGGGACCGACTTCAAAAGTCTGAGGATTACTGGGAGAGAAGAAGGACAAATCAGGCTGAAAGAGCGGGACCATGCCGGGCTGTCAGATCCAGACTGGGTTTGTGCCGGTTCTGCTGGTCTGTTTCTTTCTGCTGTTGGCATCTGGTTCAGGGAATGCACGCATGATCAGGAAGAGGGGACTCAACCAGAAGGTAAGGATGTGTGCGCGCGTGTGAGTGTGTGTGCGTGTGTTGGACACTAGAGGCCTCTTAGGCTCAGCAAGGCTACATATAATTAATATATAATTTATATTTAATTTAATGCATGTTTGTTGAATACAAGTATTAATTACTTTTTTATGCATATGCTAATATGCAGTCTCCTGTAATAACTGCATGATTGCCATATTCCAGTACCAAAGTATTTTGATATACCATGGTAGTGAATGATACCGACCATGTTCATATATAATGGTATTTTCATTGTAGTACCACATCCAAAAAACACGGGACTATCATGGTACCATGTCATGCCATTTTCAAGTACCATAATATGTTGCTCATGGTACGTCAAAGAATACCGCTGCTTTTTTTTCCGGATTACCATAGACTGCAAATACACTATAAAAGAAGTATGCAGATATGCACTCTTAATATGATATCTGATGTACACTTTTGTGAAACGTCTTTGGGCTCTTGACTGTCTGGTGTATTTTGTTTGCCAATTTGCTTGTATTTTTTTGTTTATTTGTAATTTTTTGTAAAGTGTCCTTGGGTTCTTGAAAGTCGCTATAAAAATAAAACATAGTATTATTATTATTACACTTGAGCAGGAATATGGTAATATCATGGCACTCTTTGGCCCTTTGTTGTTAGTGAAGGCAGTGTTGCCAGAGGTTGGCATCTGTGAGCCTTTAAGAGGGTTTTTAGGTCCATTATACAGTAAAAAAAAAAAAAACGAATGAATACACTGTGTCTTTGTGACTCCAGAGGAGTTGCTGTGGTTACGGTTGAATACTCAGATGTATGTAGTGTGTGTGTGTGTGTGTGTGCAACAGAAGTAGAGGGATTTCAGGTGGGAAGTTTCTGGGCCTCTGCTCATTAGTCCTGATAAGCGTAGGTTTGATTGATTACAATTAACAAGGGATGGCAAGATGGAATTTGCATGGGATGGATATCCCTTTCCAACTAACTGAATTCCAGCGTCATTCTGATTACGGCTCTACTGCGGAATTCAAGACAGATCCATTAACATGCCAAAGGAAATGGACCGTGCCCAAAGTAACCTCCCTGTTACATTATCATATGGACATCTTCTTTCTGATTTTTTCTTGTTCTTAAAAGTCCTTTCATATTCATTTTCATTTGACTAATTTATCTTTCCATTTGACTTTATAACAAGCAACATCTGCTTCCTTCCCTAGCTGTCCTCTCTTTCTCACTCTCTCTCTCTCTGCAGACTAGAGTCATTGGTGTGAACTGATGAAGCATGGACAGACACACAGTACAGTGCTGTTATAGCAATAAATCTTAATTAGGTTCACATTGAGGATAATTGAGATCATTCCACTGATGTGACCTCTCTAAGAAAAACAGCAATAACAGGGCTCAGAGAAGTAGGTGAGCTGTGCCTCACTTTCAGGGTTTTGTAACATGGTATTGTAGGTGGAGAGAGAAAGTGGGTTTAAGCCAGCATTCTGATGGATTTTCTGGGTGGGCCTGAAGCGGTCCAAAAGCCATGCTGGTCAGCTCACTCTTGACAGCAAACCACAGACTGTTCTGTTTGTGTTTGGTAAAAATGTTTGTGGCTGAGCATTTCAGGCTTTCATGAACAACTCTGAGTCAGAATGTAATCAGTTCATGCGCTGTTTTCATAGGGTTTGTATAGCTAAAGTAAAATGTTAGGGTTATAAAGCTAATGATTTCTCATTGATCTGTAAAGATAGTCGTCACAAAAAGCTTATACGGAATCCAGGCTTTTTTTCTGCAGAACATGTAAAGGCAGGTGAGGGGTCATCTCAGCTCGGCTGTGCCCTCACAGCTCCATCAATCTCTAAGCACAGTGATGATTACCAGGCCAAGGGAGAACGCTTTAAAAGCTGACAGAGATGATGACAGATGTGTTAGAGTTACTTGTCAACAACCTTCTGAGGTGATGTGAAGTGTCTGTCATCTTCTTTCAGGTTCTGTTCACTCATAGTAGACTCTAAATCAAGAGTGCAGTTTCTGATTTCATGGCAGGTTATTTCAGTTCGGATGGAACATGTTAATGTTTTGAACTGTAAATAACTTTTGCAAGATATTAATCATTACTTTTCAGCTTAAATGATTCACCCTGAATGAACACCCTGGAACTTATTAGAAGCTTATTATAAGTGTATTAGTATCATATGATATTAAATATTTTATATTCAGAGAAATATTTATGTGGCAGAAGAACAATCTAAATTAGGGTGATATTAAATAGAACAAAAATGCATTAAATGTTTAACATACAGGTGCATCTCAATAAATTAGAATGTCGTGGAAAAGTTCATTTATTTCAGTAATTCAACTCAAATTATGAAACTCGTGTATTAAATAAATTCAATGCACACACACTTTGAATTACTGAAATAAATTAACTTTTCCACGACATAGAATAGATGAGAATAGACCATATTTATTAAATAAATACATTACCATTTAAAAGTTGGGGTCAGTAGGGTTGTAAAAACATATCAAAATAGAAAACATTTATTTTAAATTGTAATAATATTTCACAATATAACCGTTTTCACTGCATTTTTAAACAAATATATGCTGCCTTGGTGAACATAAGTGACTTCTTTCAAAAACATAAAAATCTTACAGACCAAACCTTTGAATGGTAGTAAATGACTAATAAAACTAGAAAACACAATCATTTTTATAACTGAGTAAAAATGTGAACAGCACAGTATCATTAAACTATTGACACAGAGACTTGAAATGAGTTTGTGAATCATTTATTTGATCATCAAATTGTTTGTATAAAGGGGTCATATGATGCGATTTCAATTTTTCCTTTCTCTTTGGAGTGTTACAAGCTCTTT